AATCCAGTATTTAACTACAAGAGTAGAAATTTGAACAATCAAAGGAACCTTTCCTAATTTGGCATAAATAGTCAAATTTGTTGTTTTTGAGTGCACGCCAAGAATTCGTTTGCAGAATTTTAAATGAATTCTTTCAATTTCATTGATAATTTTGAAGAATTTACTCTTAGAGATCTCAAAGGTAGTTACTCTACCTATCAAATAAGGTCCCCAAATTTCACATCCGTATAACAAAATGGGGATTATCATCGCTGAAAATAGTTTTAAAAGTATTTTTATTGGTACGTTTTCAAAATTAGAAAATTTTTTTAAAAGGTTATTGTATGCTCTTAGAGCTTTATCACGTAAGACTTTTAGGGCTTTCTTAAAATTCCCAGAAAAATGAATAGTAATTCCAAGATAGCAATATTCATCTACTTGTTCCAGGGCTTCATTTTCATAGTACCATGCACGTCTTAATAATTGTTGTCTGCACATATTAGCTTACCAGCAGTTGCGTGTAATAGCATGTCAACCGACGTTTGTACAAAGTATATGACGTTCTGTTTATATCTCTGAGATACAGTATGTCCATTGTCAGCATATTAATATGAAATACCTGACCGTGTCACTACATTTTAGGGTATGACTATATTTTTCGATAATACTCACAATTAGTACAATCTAAATCATTACAATGAATGGCACTAAATACTGTAAAATATCGATCATATATAGAAATACTAAGTTAGTTTTTGTCCCAATCATCGTCTTAATGGCTTAAAGGCTACCCCTATAATCGCAGAACGGAACAATCTGCGATAGGTCGCAGAACAACGGAACAATCTGTTGATGGGGAAGAAAAAATTTGTTTAATACGTCAGCTTCAGATGACGGCAAGCTAGCCATTATGACAACTCGTTATGAGTAATGAAGAAATTATAAGCATCGAAGGTGTTCATATAAAACCGCCCATGCCAAGAAAGTAGAATTGGAATCAATTTAGCTGACCTTCGACTTTGTGCAAATTGCACTTTTCCTACCTCCTGAACAGTGAACAGGCATCTTAAGCCCTGTTTATATGAGCCCTACATGAGGGGCTGGCCCTTGTAGGCTAGATTCCGCTTACTAATACATTTCCCTGTTAAAAATTGTTTGTCATTTATTTGAAAGGAGGGCCAGCGCCATGGCCGTAGGAACCACGGGAGCAGCGGGGGCTTGAGCCCCCCTAACTTTTAGAAGCAGAGGGCAAAGCCCCCTAAAAATTCTAATTTCTGAATCTCGTTTAGAGTTTGCTTAATACAGATGTATGACAAAATTTGTTTAATACGTCAGCTTCAGGTGACGGCAAGCTAGCCATTACAACTCGTTATGCTGTGCTAATAAAACCTGCATGTATTTGAGTAATGCAAATCATTAAAGTGTATATGAAATGAAAATTTCGATATCGGGTTTTTTGCATTTTCTGAAAATTTGGTCTTTTCCGATCATAAAAATACAAACCTTGTTGAAAAATTCGAACCAGAAGTTTGTTAATTTTACGATTAAAGTTCGCTTTTTCGACTATCTACTGGCGAAATTCCTGACATTCCATCGCGCGGCCAGTAACGTATGCAGTATGACACAGTGCGATCTTTCGATATGCCAGAACACTATGAAAATCATAGCTTCGTCTGGGTAGAATTGGGTTTTTGAGAGATTTTGAAGAAAATGCAAACGAATCAACTTTATGTAGACATCGCTTTCAATGTATAGATACAATATAGATAGATAGATTGTTTAATAATTCACTTTTTGCAGTACAAATACTGAATTGGTAAGCGATTACAATATAAATAAGACTGAATACAAATTATATTACATTTAAAAAATTACAACCTATGCTATGGCTTACTAAGAAGATTATAAATATTAAAACTAACACTAATTTGTTGAATTACGATTATTTATGTCTAAACAACTAGCGATGACATACGAATTCTTAAAACGTTCAGTATAGAATTTCGGGCATGTATCTTCTTGTTGTTTCGTAATTGGTAATTTAATGAAGTATCTATTTTAGGGATTAAATTATGAAGTTTATGGTTCGGGTTATTTAAAATTTGATTAAAAAGTTTATTGCAGGCAATTTGCCTTCTAGCGTACAATGACTCCATCCCAGCTTCCATCAATGCATCTTCGTAATGTAAGTTACAACATGACGAGTTGTAGCGTATAAGCGGCCGAAAATGCAAATTCTATGAGACGAGAGACTATGTCTACGTTGTGCTGAGTGGTTATATTATGCACCTATCAATGTTTAGCCCGAGGGGGAGGGGCGGGGGGGGAGGGCGGGCGACATTAGGGGGTTTGACAAAGGATGCCATCCCCAATGTTGGGCATTTGCTGAGTGATGTTTGCCCGAGTTTGGGGACATTTGATAACACGCTGTGATCACGGAGTACATTTAATAAGGGACATTTGATCACCTTTTTGACAAAAAGGCCTGGTCACCAAATCTTCTCCACGAGGTGTTGAGGTTTTCAAAGATGGCGGAAACAGCAAAGGTACGCAAAAACACGATTTCTCATGAATTATTAATTGTTTGAAAACATTCAAAGTCAATTTTTGCTTTTTGATGAAACCATTTAAAGTGTGGAATGCGAATCATTCTAAGAATGTTATTGTTGTGGCAAATTCATTGGAAGAACTGACACGTTTAAAAATTTGGTGTTTTACAGCGAAAAATTGTAAACAAACGTGCTAATTTATATATACTCTCCCTTCTACTAATAAACAGGATACATTGATGTGGGGTATTTGAACAGGAAGCAAAGAAATAACCGGGTATTTTGATGAGTTTGACCAGCGCGGATTTCTGAAATACGGGATGTTTGACAAAATATTTCAACAAAAATTCAAATCCCCTATTGTCGCCCGCCCCTCGGGCTTAACATTGATAGGTGCATTACTATCCTGAAAAAACAAGCAGAAACTCGACGTTTCGAACGAAGGCCCTTCGTCAACTAACTCGAAACGACGAGTTTCCGCTTGTTTTTTTTCAGGTAGTAATATAACCACTCAGCACAGCATTTTCACATTGGTACTACCCACACTGTCACTGGTACAGACAGTTTTAGTATATGTCTGTATGTTGTAGGTTTCAGACCGCATATTATGTAGATAGGCTGTAGCTAATATTAATTATGGCAAACATTGTAGTAACTAGTGTAAGCATAATATGGAAATTAATACTAAATATGTACATTTACTGACATTATGCCATAACATGACCATTCCAAAACAAACAAATTTTGAATTGCATATATATAGCGTGGTAAAATACGATAGGGTAACAGGACTTTAATTAATTAATATATATAGCTGCTTCTAATGATGGGCTCTAGTTCATTATATAATTTACGTCCACAGCTGTCGGTTCACTCACAACCGTTCGTTAAGTTCACATTGAGAATCTATTATACATCTAGTATGATTAGTATTTATCTCGCCTCTATAGAAAATCTCAGCAAGAAACGCGTGCATCATTAGTGTTTTGCGCGACAGACATAGCCGCGTCTACCGACGTCACGAAACTCACACCAGCACTCGCACGCAATCTTGTTTGCATCAGTACTACCTAACCCTATAAAGCAGTGCAGTACTGCAGTTACTATGCATGCTGGAAGTGGTCTGGAATTCTCCCATCCCAGCATGCCAAATACCCATCTGACTATCCAACGATATGCTACTGCTCGAAGATATTAAATAATCAAGCAGTGAGTCGTTAATTTCATGTTTGCAAATACTAAAGAAGTTATATATACTGAAGATTTGCCTACCCAAGGCTAAGTAAATTTGTCAATGCACTCCAAAATTTCCTTACAGCATCTATTCTCTAGCGTCCTGCAATAATTCGTCGCTACAATGTCCACATGAGCACCTTAAAATAAAACTCACATATCAGACGAAACAGGGTAATATAAATAGTCGAGGAACGGGTTAATATAATATTGCTTTCATAACTTTACTTACCATGAAATTGTAAGTCACGTCAAGCTGTTTGCAGATGATACAAAAGTGTACCGAAAGTCGGACCCAGAGAACGACGGGGAAATACTTCAGTCAGACTTGAACCGTATGAGCGAGTGGACAAATTTGTGGCAATTGAGCTTCAATCTTGATAAGTGCGAAGTTATGCGGATAACTCATCATAAAGATAAATCAATGGGGTAGCAAATCTTCGAGTTAAGCCCCTCGAGTTAAGCCCTTCGAGTTAAGCCCCGACCACGCCCTTTCGAGCTAAGCCCGGACCACGCCCATGCCACACCCATTTCCGTTGAGGGCTTAACTCGAAGTACATAACTGGAGTTAGGTACTTCGAGTTAAGCCCTCTAGAAAATAGGGGCTTAACTCGAGCAAAGTCAAACATTTTTTCTTCGAGTTAAGCCCCAACGTTTGAAAGATGTAAAGGAGTTACGGTTAATCTGATCCCAAACAAATTAAGTTGTCATTTGGATCGCGTTTCGTTCAATCACGGTTCAATACGTTTTATTTCAGCCGACGTATTATATATGTTAGCATTATTAGGGACTTTAAGATTGACGTTTAAGGCAAACCGCTAACCGCAAGTCAACTGTTAGCTGTTCGAAGTTAGAGCAAGTGAGCAACTTGTGCATAAAAATTGGACTATGATTTAGCTACTTTTTAATAGCTAATAAAGGAATAAAGATCGACCTTTTCTGCCGTAAAGGTCAATCTTAAAATTGATTAATTATCAAATTGTATACCGGTGTCCCGAAAAACACCGGGCTCTGTTTGATTTCATGTAACGTAAAAGCTATAAAAGCTATCGCAGATTCACAATGAAATAAAGATCATTGCATTCATAATGGACTAACTTAGGCCCGGTTTAGACGGCGAACTTCTCATGCGCCGAATCTAATGCAAGAATTAAGTGCGACGCTGGAGCGGCGTCTAAATCAATTAAGTTCGACAGGTTTTGATTAAGTTCGACATGACTCGAAGATGCGACAAGACAAGTCGTATATGCGACACAGGTTCGACATTGATTTAGACGCCGTGCTTTTCATGCGCCGAACCTAATGCATAATTATTTTTTAACATCATAATATGATTATCATATATTTGCATTGTAAATATGTCCAATATAGTGTCCTCGCAATTTGGTACGGTACAATTAAGTTCGACGTCTAAATCAGCTTCCGATATTATTATTATTATTATTATTATTATTATTATAAATTTCCAAACTAGCAGTAACAACTGAATTACTTTGGAATTACAGGGTATAAGAACATAGGTATTTAATCTATTCTATATTTACAGGTAAAAATAGGTAAGTTAGATAAAATAACGATAATAATCTAAAGTTTACTTATTATTATAAGCACGAGACGCAGCAGGAATGAAACTGTTCGAAAAACGTTCAGTTCTACACCTAGGTACTAATAAGTTGGGATAAGACCTCAGATTATAAGTTTGAAGACTTTTAGGCGGTACTAAGGCATTCAGTTTATGAGTGGGTTCCAACATCTTCGAAAAAAGTCGCTTGCAATGGACAGTTCTACGTTCGTAAAGAGTCGTCAAGTTAGCTTTAAGCAAACATTCAGCATAGATAGTTCCAGGGAAAATAATTTTTAACGCCCTTTTTTGTATTTTTTCAACTTGATCACTCAGGTAATGAGGAAGGCCATAATGCCACACCTGACAAGCATATTCGACAATTGGTCGAATATGTGTACAATAGGTTGAGATCAGAATATGAGAAGGTAAAGCATTTCTTTTAAGAAGGCGCAGACCGTACAAACGCTTCGCGGCTTTCTTGCAAATGTAGTCAATATGGCAGTTCCATTTGAGGTCGTCCGAAAGGACAACGCCCAATAGTTTGGCCTCGGAAACGACGTCGACCTCTTGACCGCGAATGGTAATAGGGGCAAACGATTGGGTAAGCTTAGAAAAGCAGACACGCAATTCTTTGGTCTTTGATACATTTAACTTCATATTATTGTCTGATGACCATTCAGAGCAGCTGATGATGTTAGCGGGTAACTGGGAAGGGGAATTGTTTGATATTATTTCCCAAAGGCTGGTATCATCGACAAATTTAACAGTTTCATCCACTACAGCCAAGTCATTTATCATGATCAAAAATAATAGCGGGCCAAGCTTCGTTCCTTGTGGGACGCCGGCGTTTAAAAACTTCCACTCAGAAAAGAACTGACCAACACGGGTTCTTTGTTGTCTGCCTGTTAGGAAGTTTGCGATCCAGTTGAGTAACACGGGATGAATTTCCATGTCTTTCAATTTTTCCAACAGAATGTTATGATCTAATCTATCAAACGCCTTGGCAAAATCAAGTAAACAAATCCGTATAGTGTTGCCTTGTTTGTCAGATGCTTCAAACCATTTATGTAGCATGTAGATTAATGCCATACTAGTGCTTGAACCCTTCAGCGAACCAAATTGCAAGGAATCAATTTTTTTTGAGACGGAGTCAAGTAGCCATTTGTAGGGAAAGGATTCAAGAATCTTGCTGATAATTGGTGTGAGGGAGATTGGTCTGAAGTCAGAATCAACATCTTTAGGAGGCGAAGATTTTTGAACTTGTGTAATATTTGCTGCCTTCCATATTGAGGGAACAAATCCTTCACGAACTGATGAATTAAAAATAGAACACAAAGGTCGACACAACACTGAAGCGTTTTCCCGGAGAAGCCAAGAAGGAATTTCATCGGGACCAGCAGATGAATGAAGTTTAGATGATAATAGGGCCTTTTCAGTCTCCTCGACAGAGATGCAGAAATCATCTGGAATGTCATTTGTGGGAAGGGGGAGCCAGTTTAGATTGTGTAGGGAGGACCCTACAGCAACGAACTTGTCGTTGAGCAAATTTGCTAAATCGGCATCAGAGTAGGATTTACCTTGGAACATCATTGTAGATACATTCTTAGAAGACTGAAGACCGGCAATATTCTTCACCGCTGACCACCATTTACGAGAATCGGACTGTTGAACGCCCGCGATACTTTTATTGTAGTAATTTAGTCGTGCTTTTTTGCAAAGTGCATTGACTTTGTTTCGATAGAATCTGAACATCAGGTTATTGCCAGCCGCCCATGCTGTTTGCCGCTTGGAAATAAGAGATTTTATTTCGGAAGTAATCCAAGGCTTGTCACTAGAATCAATTTTGATTTGTTTCCAAGGCAAATGTTCGTTTATGATATTATCAACGATGGTGGTTCACTTCGCACATGTTTGTGTTTGCACTACATGGCAATTAATTGCTTTGTTGGTTGATAATTTTAATATGTTTTTCTAGCATTTGCTCATGTCCCAGAAACTATATGTCACCTTACAAATAATTATGAATATTGGAAGCAAGAGGCGGAAGAGAAGGTTTGGGCATTGTTAATTGTAGTCTATTTGACTGAGATATGTTATTGAAAACAAAACTATTACTTGAAAGATATTTATGCATGACCCAGTCGATATATAGTTCCTGTAAGAAATCATTCATCAAAGTATTAGGCAATGATGCCAAAGTTCTTGGCAGTTTTGCGTGGCGAATAGTGTGATACAAGTTTTGCTTTGTGTCATGTTGGATTTAACTTCCGGTTTAGTCTAGGTCGTCGTTCACGTTGTGTTTAGGACGGCAGTCATGGTGTTTTAGAAATAAAGTTCGTAAACCATATGTTATGGTAGGGGTATACCCTACCAACCATGAAATACTTGCCTCCCCCCCCCACCCCCACCCTTGAGATGCTGTTTTATTAAAGGTACAGCTAGGTTATTATCACGAGAGGCTGTCACTGTTCACTGTTTTGTTAATTAATTTTTTTTCCTAGGATGAATTACTTCGACAAGCCAAACATAATTCCTCTACATCGCTACCTGCTTCTCATTAACAAACAATAAAACATGGAAGCTGTTGTTTTTGTAGAATGCCCATCATGATGGTGGCTATTAATTGAAAATGAGTTAATATGTACATAGTCTTCTAAGTTTATATTGGTATCTCTGAAAAGCAAAGAGTATAAATATGTTATAAATATAAATATATATATAAATATATAAATAAATATAAAAATATATTTAAATTACTCTCTTTTTAGTGAAAGGTCACACGACCTTTGCACTTTTGTAGCGAGAGGAAATACACATCAGTGACTATACAATCAATAGATTAATTGAGTAAACAACCCTGGCAGCTTGCAAATAATATTCGTTAGCTATTTTGTCTCATTTAGTCTGTGGCAGATTTGTGCAATTGTGCGTTTTCAGGTAAAAGCCTAAAATTTTGCACAGATATAGATATACAATATTGCATGGGTATGGATCACAAATCTTTCCTATTGATCTTGTAAAAAACTGGTGTTAATTAAAGGGAAATGGCAATGTAAATTTTTATTTTCTTAGTTGAAGTAATTCACCGATTTTTCCTGTCTTGCTTAGTTCATGAAATATTTTCACTTGAACTAATGAGATGTCCGCCATCTTGGATAAATTTTTGATTTCATTAACGGTAGTTTTAGTAACGTCACAACAGGATTATGTCTAGTTAAAATATGAGCGAGCCGAAGGCGAGAGTTTGTATATCAGATGAAGATCGGATGCGAAATCAATGTTTTAACAACGACTCATCTTTTAGTTCATTGGCGAAGTAATTTTAAAAATAAACATTTTTAAAAATAAACATTGTTTAAAATAAACATAGTTTGAGGGAAAATCAAAGCTGAAGTTTATGTAAATCAGAACTAATTTTTATCCGATTTACAAACATTGATTGACCAAATATTGTAGATGTTTTAAAGGTTTTGAATGATCTTGATCTTTCGAAGGGCAGACAGAATATAGTTTTGAGTGAAAAATCGTTAGTGGTTGCCTAGCTAAAAATGTTGCGTGATCTCTGTTGTGTCGTGCATACATATCTACTACAAAAAATGAAGATGGCTGACATTTCATTCCTTTCGATCAAAATATTTGTGGAAGTAAGATATGAAAAAACGGTGAAAGAGTATTACATATACTCTTTATAAAAGTTCTTTCAAATGAGAAAATAAAAAATATATTGCCATTTCCTTTTACGGTATTTTCTGCTAGAGTACTATCTGGTAAAAATGCAAAATTTTCTCGTTAATTTTTGCAAAAACAAACACATCCATACCATTTTAGAGATGAAAAGTAATTAAGCGATTGTTTCGATTTTTGAACTTGTAACGTGCCGAGTACTCCACTGATTACAAAAATCAACATACTCACCAATTTATTTGGCAATTTAAAGAGTCTTGGTCAACCACAATGCAATGGGCGCTTTTGTTTACGTTTTCCCGTTACTTTTCTCAATTGTTGCCGCCATTTTCGATGTCACCATCCTCGTCACAAAAATGGCTGCCTCTGGCTCACAACGTAACAGAAACGTAAACAAACGTACGCATTGCATTGTGGTTGACCAGGACTCTTGAGTTGTGGACGCTTAAGGCTAGTTTCCACTCAGGAAAATTATCCGTGGATTGGAACGGACAAGAAAATTTTTCTTTGTCTTGTGAGCTCTGGCCCTGTTACACGGTGCAATTTTTCATGCAACTTGTCTCGCAAGTCGCAATGGCGTTGCAAGACAAGTTGCACGAGTCATTGCACCGTTTAACATGTCTTGCAAAGGGTCAAAATCTTTGCGAGACAAGTTGCATGAAGCATTGCACAGAGTAGAAGTTTGTTCTACTTTTGTCAACGATTGCACTAATTATTTTTAGCATTGCAGCGTGTAACATGGCTTCGTGCAACTTGTCTCGCAATGTTTATTGCTTGGAGAGTTCCTATTGGCTCTCCCCAGTACACGCTTTACTTTAATTAAAATTTGGCGCCAAATAGCGCCTCTCCTTAGTCTCTTCGCATACCTCTGTCCCCTATCGTTGCGAGTTGCATGAAAATCATTGCAGTGTGTAACACCTCTTGCAACGTATTATCAAAATCTTTTTTTAAACGTTGCGGGACAAGTTGCATGAATAATTGCACCGTGTAAAAACTTCGTAGAAAGTGCTTGCTTTGCATAATTTATGCACACTTATTCCACCGGCACAGTTGTTTATATTAAATTCAAAATAGAGTTAGAAAATCGTACTACGCGCCGGAACATTTCTTTATTGCAAAGATAATACTATTAAAATGGACTTTTTCCGGGTGACGGTTAGATTTCTATCATCTCTATATCTGTTCAAATTTGGTGCTTTCACCATAAAATGCAGAATTGTTTCACGAATCTGCTGGACCGGTTGTTCAAAAACCGGTTGACTTAACCCTAAAGCCTGGTTCACATATGCCTGCGACTGTATCATTATGGCTATTAGTAAAACACGGAGCACACGGAGTACGGAGCACACGGAGCACGGAGCACACGAACTACGGAGCAGTAGAAAAACGAAAATCCTTTATAATAAAATACACTGTTTACTACAAATTTTTATTACAAATTTTTGTTCTTATTAATAAAGTTTTTTCGCGTTTTACACGTTGAAGAAGTAGAAAAATGGGGCTTTTACTGCACATATGATGCAAAACTGCCAAAAGCCATAGTATTTAAAATAGGATTGTGCCTGTGAAACTCGTCACATATCTATCAAGCTTATGAGTTATGTAGTTATATCAGTATATTCCGATGGCCAACGCATTAAGAAACACTTAGAGAACAGCCGATATATTTCGTTACCCCTGCCAAAAAATAGCCAAGTACTCATCTTTCAATGTAGCCGGGATCGACTGAACATTATAAAAGCTTGTCATGGAGAGAAGTGAATTTTCGGTTTATCCTTCGTCCCAGTGAGCAGTGTGCTGTACGGCCTACGCCGGTTTAAACCGTTATACATAATTACTGCTTTCATTCTTTCAATCCGTTTTGAATATTCGGAATCATTCACTATTATATTATAAAACTGTATAAGATAGCTGTAGAACTATATAAAATGCTGTAGAATAAAATAAATAAAGAAAACTACGTTTTATCGCGGTATTTGCCGATAAATCGGTAACCGCTACAGAAAAACAGAACAAATTACAGTAAATCACAACAAACCGCGGAAGTGGGACAATTTTTGTATTTTTACTGTATAAAGACATATGCAGAATATGTACGAAATCCATACAGAAGTGTGTGTGTATTCTATACTTTTGAAACAACTAAATCAGACTTCGGAAAATTTGACAGTATTAAAGCTACTTTTGAGAATTTAGATTTTAGGTCTTTGTTTTACATGTACCCAGTAAATATTTTTGAGTTTTGAACTCTGATTCTCACAAGCTTACAATTTGTTTACAATTTACTCTGGCTCTGCCGTGCTGCACGGCAGAGTTGATCGGAATTGTAACAAATACGCGTACACTTAAATGGCTTCCTGAATTTAGTCAATCAGAGGTGTAAAAATTACTCGTTTCAATTTTATGTTTATGCTCGAAACTGCTCATGTTTACAATAGCAATTCTAACAATCTTGCCCTCCTTTTCGCCTTTGAGGCGTTGGTACGTGTTGATTTATACACAATTCAAAACTCAAAAATATTTACTGGTCTGGGTACATGTAAAACGAAGACCTAAAATCTAAATTCTCAAAAGCAGCTTTAATACGGTCAAATTTTCCGAAGTCTGATTTAGTTGTTTCAAAAGTATAGAATACACACACACTTCTGTATGGATTTCGTACATGTTCTACATGTCTTACAGTAAAAATACAAAAATTGTCCCACTTCCGCTATTTGTTGTGATTTTAATACTGTAATTTGTTCTGTTTTTCTGTAGCGATTACCGATTTATCGGCAAATACCGCGATTTGAAAACTTACTTTTCTTTATTTATTTCATTTTACAGCATTTATAGTTCTACAGCTATCTTATACAGTTCTATAATATTGTGAATGATTCCGAATATTCAAAACGAATTGAAAGAATGAAAGCAGTAATGATGTACTGTATAACGGTTTAAACTTAGCCGGCCGTACAGCTCACTGCCACCGGTCACTGAGCCGAAGGATAAACCGAAAATTCACTTTTCTCATCACAAGATTTAATGTTCAGTCGATCCGCTACATTGAAAGATGAGTATACTTGGCTATTTTTGGCAGGGGTAACGAAATATATCGGCTGTTCTCTACAGTAAGTGTTTCTTTATGTGTTGCCCATCGGAATATAATATAACTACATAAGCTTGATAGATGTAAGATAACGAGTTTCACAATCCCATTTTAAATACTATGGCTTTAATTTTGGCAGCCTGGTTTTGCATCATATGTGTTTTTCAGTAAAAGCCCCATTTTCCTACTTCCCCAACGTGTAGTACGCGAAAAAAACTTTGTTAATAATAACAAAAAATTGTAATAGTAAACAGTGTATTTTATTATAAAGGATTTTCGTTTTTCTACTGCTCCGTACTTCGTGTGCTCCGTGCTCCGTGTGCTCCGTACTCCGTGTGCTCCGTGCTCCGTGTGCTCCGTGCTCCGTGTGCTCCGTGCTCCGTGTTTTACTAATAGCCATCGAGCAGAGATCCACTGATATTATATCTTTCAAGTTTGGCGATAAGCGCAGCGTGACTGACCTTGTCGAAGGCCTTAGACATGTCCATGAAAATGACATCTGTTTGTTTACCCGAGTCTAACAGAGAACCAATGGAATTGAGCACCTCAACTAGCTGGGTGGTACATGATCTGCCTGGGATAAATCCATGTTGTGAGGTGTTAATTAGTTCCAACAAGTGAACACGCAGCTTGCTCAGCACGCAGCGCTCGAGGACTTTCGATACGATGCAGAGGAGTGAAATCGGACGATAGTTCTCAACGTGGGTTTTGTCTAATTTCTTGAAAACTGGAACGATGTTAGCCAGTTTCCAGTCCTCTGGTAAAGAGCCACTATTGAGAGATCGATTAAATAGAGAGCATAAAGATGGAGCAATTTGATGGGCAGTTTCTTTTAGAAGTCTGGGAGGTATACCGTCAGGGCCCGTTGCTCTACCGGCATCAAGGTTTTGAAGAACAACCAAAACGTCGTCGAGGCAAAGGTTCAATTCTGACAGAGCAGATCCGCAACTGGTAGTTGAGGGAGGAGTTGTTGAATCAATTGGATTGTCGTTGCCGTTTAGAACAGATGAAAAGTACACATTGAAAAGCTCTACAATGTCACGAGGGCAGGATGCTGACTGAATTGAGGTAGGGTCCGATCCACCTACTCCCATCGAGACTTTTCCTGGCACGCTGGAGTCTTTGGTCTTTAGTTTGAAAAGAGACCAAAACCTCTTGGAGTTGTTACGCAGATCGTCCTCCAAGGTCTCAAAGAAGCGAGCCTTGTCGAGCGAATATTTTCAACCCATGGACTTCCACAAATTATTAAAAGTGACAATGGCCCCCCGTTCACTAGCACAGAATTTAAAACATATATGCAAGAAAGGGTATTGAACATCAACGCATAACACCACTGTGGCCGCAGGCAAATTCAGAGGCTGAGAATTTCATGGAGCCCATGACAAAAGCAATTCGAGCAGCGATTACAGAACACAAGAATTGGAAGAAGGAACTCTATAGTTTCTTGTTAAATTATCGGGCAACGCCACATAGTACAACCAAGTTCTCTCCTGCAGAACTTTTATTTAATCGTAAAATTAAAATGAAACTGCCAAACCCAGTGCATCAGATGCAGGACACTGTAAAAGACAAGCAAGTTCGAGAGAATGACGTCAAAGCTAAGGAACGAATGAAAGCAAATGCAGATCGAGTGAAAAAAATGCGAAAGAGTCAAAAATGTTTATTGGTGACACTGTACTGGTGCGTCAAAGAAAACACAACAAATTCTCCACACGGTATGATCCTAAACCATATCGGATCACTAAAATTAATGGCACTATGGTAACCGCTTCACGTCCATTCCATCACCCGGAATATTTCCTTTTACAAAAAGATTCAACCACAACCTGTTAAGGAAGAGTGGCAAGACAGTGATAACATGGGAGGTGACTTAAGTGATGATGTAGCTGATGAAATCAACCAAGACGGTGAAAAAAAGTACAAGGGAGGAGATATCCACAGAGAGACAGGCAACCAACCCAAAGATACGGTCAGAATATTTATGAATATAGATAATTAGGATTCATAGGATCATAAGTTAGTATTATCAGGACAAACATATTGGTATGGACTTCAGGACTTATATAGTATAGTATACATTAGTTTATTTGTTTTGTTAGTTTATTTGATATTGTTAAGACATTTTACATTAATAGGTTTGCTAGCTAGAGTAAGGGAGGGATGTAGCATTGGTCATGTGACAAGTCACATGGGTCATGTGACAGGACGGATTGATATTGATGACATTGTAGTTTTGTACGAGATATTATACACGAGAATATTACAAGTATTTAATGTGGGTGTATTTATATTACAAGGTTTGATCAGTATTCCGTGATTTTATTTTGTTGTTTTTGCAGAGGAAATCGGGGAAACCCCACAGTGAGCATCTACTTTTATAGTCTGCGCGTGCGCAGTGCGAGTTTGGCTGAGTTGCGCATGCGTATTTGCTACCAAAACAATGGCGGTTCGAGGGATTTTTGAAGGGATTCGAGGCGGTTCGAGGGAAACTTTGGAGGGATTTTTCTCCCAATTGTGCACCTGTTTCGCTTGGGGAGCAACGGATTCTGATAAAGTAAGTTTTTATCTATTTATTCCTGTAGTTACACGAGGGGTGCAACGGAATTGCATCTTTTGGATGCTCATCCTACGGCCTATAAGGGAGTGGTCATTATATATGGTGAGGGGGGGCGGGTGGTAAATGGGGAAAATAAGGATTGAAAACTTTTGGAACCCCCCCTACAGACTGAAGGCAAACTTTTTGTGCCTCCCCCCTCATAAAGTTAGAAACTTTTCTGACATCCCCCCCCCCCCCCAGAGTCAGTGGCGGCGGAACAGGGGGGGGCTAGGGGGCTAAAGCCCCCCCAGAAGTAAAAGTGGGGGGCTTAGCCCCCCCAGAAAATTTTGTTTTCTCTGAAAAAATTTTGATAATTAAGTAAAAATGTAGGTTATATTTGGAAAATTTGGGTATAGTGGGAAAAATTTGGGATATTTTGTTTAAAAATCTAGTATTTCCGGAAAAAAATTTTGTTATAGGTCCGGAAAAACTTTTTTTATCCCTTTTCTTGTATATGTCCGGAAAAATTTTTGTACCCCTAAAATGGTACACTGACCGAAATTTTTTTTGGCGACGGGGGGGGGGGCACGGAAAAAAAATGTAGCCCCCCCAAACTGAAATCCGTTCCGCCGCCCCTGCCCAGAGTGGATTGAAAAAATAACAGCAATGAAACAGGTGTGCGTTGCAGGTAAAGTTAGATATTAGGACAATCTGTTTAACTGATCAGATTCGGTCTATCGACGCACAATGTAACGCTGTATATCCAAAAATCTGTCTCAGAAAATGCTCACTAAGTGTACTTGCATGGTATGTTTATGTAAATACCACAACTGGGTCACTCAGGGGGTAGAAAGCTTGTTAAACTTAGTGGGCCCGACTCCCACGATTGTACATTTCTAGACGTAAACACTTTGAAAATTATATTTTGTTTCAGCATACGCATCGCATTTGTATGATTATAGTATTAATTCTTAGCATTTCCGCCATCTTGAATTCGCAAAATTGGTCCGTTGTGCGCATAGTTAGCAGCCATACTGTCCCAAATTTCTGGCCATGAAATTCATTAAAAAAACTAACTCACTATGGTAAGAAATAACTTTAGTACTTCTACATCGTGTTTTTTTCTTCTCTCATCACTTTTAAACGAGTTAATTTTGCGAAAATTCCGAGGAAAATTCATCAAATTCGTAACTCAATTTGATCAAAACTATGCGGGATGATGGCTCCCGGCGTTACGTCACAAAATAAAGCTCTCTGATTCGCTGGGAAATTTCAACCAGCCAATCGGAGTTTTTTTGAAATTTTAAACATTTTCATCAAATCAGAGAGCTTTATTTTGTGACGTAACGCCGGGAGCAGTCATCCCGCATAGTTTTCGACCAAATTGAGCCATTTTCCTCGGAATTTTCGCAAAATTAATTCGTTTAAAAGTGATGAGAGCAGAAAAAACACAATGTAAAAGTACTAAAGTTATTTTTTACCATAGTGAGTTAGTTTTTTTAATGAATTTCGATGTTTATGTGCGAGTTTTTTCGCCATTAAAGTTTGTGTATACAGTTTTAAATTTGTATTTAGTTGCCAACCTTGGGGATATATATTACATGACACAACGCTATTGTGATGTTGCACGTACTTCATGTAATACAAAATATAGAGGTTTTACGGTACATTGAAGCATTGCATGTCAAAGCATTGCATTTTAAAGCAAATTGTATGGATTTTTTAAAATAAAAGACCTTTTCGGGAGACCTATGACCAAACTGGACACAAATTACAAACTAATAAAACACTGTATCCGCAAACAAACTTATAAATTTTGAAAGATCGCACCTTTATCCACCACTATGAGGTAAAACTTCTCTTTCAGCTTGGTTTTTTCATCAGTAATTTACAATTTTTGCGGAGCACTTTTTTGTGCGAGCTTTAAAAAATTTAAAGCCCCCCCGTTTCTCATCAATCCCCCCTGTACAATAAATAATGAGCGGTCCCTAATAAAGTATTTTCAATTGTTCGTAAATGATATGTTGAAACAGAGACAGGATAAGCCGATATATAGTTAAACGTGAACAGGAATCACGTATAAATACATCACTGTTGCACTTTTATTGTGTCTACATTGAGTGAAATAATATCGACATGAGCGCAGACTTCATATCGGGTCGTATTACATTTCGGAATTCTAACAACAACATGTTGGAGAATTACGTTCTAAACAATAAACATCGGCACTCAACGAAAGTGTGCGGTGAGCCGAACCATATTTATATACGCTGTGTATTTATGTACTTTAAAACATTTAAAACATAATTGTTTCATATGAGAAACTAAGCAGGAGAAAGAAATCGGCGCTGCATGATACAGACTTTATAGAACACGCAATCAGCTTTATTTATCAAAGTTCAGAGGTCGGCTGTCGCAAAACGTTTGTTTATACATTTAAACCATTTAATGGGTCAATTTTACTCGAAACCTTAGTGGCTTATTTCTTCGCTGGTTGTTATACTTTAAAATAATTCTGTAGCTCATATTTTACCAAATTTCGCCTTCATTCGAGCGCCAAAACGGATTCAAATGCTGAGTGTTAAGTGTCCAGATGATGACTCCAAATAGGAAACACATGGTAGACGCTTCAAAAACCAATACTAATACGTACTATTTCGTAACAGCAATCATGCTGCTACAAAACACAGACACGTAGTTCTTGATTCGCTCCATTTTCATCCACAAGTCGTCATATTTCAATGCGTGAATATATATAAATCATAAATTATAACCCCTCTTTACCGCCATATTGGATTGTCTCGCGACCAAGCCGTGATTTGTAACTACGTAATTTTTGGTAATACTGGTCGCTGATTGGCTAAGTGAACAGTGAACAGCTAACAAGTCGATAGCATATAATCTACTTCGCAGATTCAAAAATATCGGAACCAAAAATGATATTTTAGTGAATGTACTGTAATTTTAAATTTCCCGAATAATTCGGAATTTTTTGGTAATACTCCCCAGTAGTGATTCTTCCCCATCCAGCCATAAAACGTGTCTTAGTATAATATAAATAAATTATATTCTTTCAGTCTTCAGATCTCACATTCTTAACTTTCCATAAATCCATCTTTTGTGTTTATAAATCTATTTTTATTGCAGGGAAATGAATAAAAACTCTCTATGCAAGATCAATAATTTTTTTTTGAATTTTTTGCAATCTCATCAAATGCCCCACTGAGGTTGTGGGTTTGATTCTCACTATGGACCCATGTGAAAAAAGAGTCCTTTCTCTGGGCACTCCAGTATCCTCCCGTGCACAAGTTGGCAGGGTTGTGTTAATAGGATAAACACATTTAGGAAAGTAATATCACAACTGTTGTAACAAATTGGATTAACCCATTGAGTGGCAACGCTCTTCCCTTGAAGAGTAAAATCGTCTGGCGTTAGACAGTAAAATATCAAAGTAGGGGGCATCAGGGTGCATTGCCATCTAAAGGGTTAATAATCCAAACTAAGTAAGTAACATAAGTAAGCATTATTAATAATACTGTAAACCATTATAATACCGTAAACCTCTGAATATAATTACCCCCCCCCCGAATATAAGCCCACCCGTGTATACGCCCACCCGTGTATAAGCCCACCTGTGTATAAGGCTATACGCCCACCCATGTCTAAGCCCACCACATGTACTAACTCTTTAAACTGTAGTGTAACTTATTTTTCAATTTCTTGTTTTTATGATTTGTTCCCAAGATATTTCAATTTGTACATTTACTACAGCTTAAAGAGTTCTTTCATTTAAGAAAATAAAAAAATTCATGTCATATGCACTTTAATTTAATTAATCACCATTATTACTATGCTTTAAAACACTTGTTAGGCCCTCTTTACACAAGTCCGGGCTGATTTTCAACCCGGGTCAGCATGCCACAGGTGGTTATTTTTTATTCTGTTTACATGAACCCGGGTTGACAACAATTTTTGCCAACCCAGGTCAGCAATTCTCAACCCAGGCAGACTCTGATTCTCCATTTACCATACAAGCCTCTAGTCCTGGATTAGGGTACATGTTGATTTATGTTGGACAAAGCTACAGTTCGGTCGGACACCAGTACATTTGGGTCAGACAAACAATAAACCTCAGTTTCACTTAATAGGTGAACATGACTTAGGTCGGACAGAATGTCTGGTGGTTTCCTCACTACTTCGGACAATTTCACGAATGGGTCGGACAATGTCCGTGACCGACCGATATTTTAAGGCCTGTTCCTAATCTCGGGAGTGGGGCTATTGCCGAAATTTTTCGGCCCGGGGGTGGGGACTTAGACATTTTCCATCATGGTGATTGGCGGACTATAACATGGCAGATTTCGCTGTAAAAGATACTGAATTTGTTTGCAAATGACTTGATACTCATTCTTTGGGATGGTCTTTCAGTACCATAATGATTGTCTTTGATCATTGATGAGTAAAATCCTTTGTCTACATGAAATAGTTTTTATCCTTCAATGGACAATGATCACTATCAAAAATTATCTACAAGTGCATTGTTGACCATCAGTGACATACAAAACCTGGCTTAAGGTCCAGACCACAACTTTTTAGTTTTTGAAAGTTAATAAAATAGCCAATGAGAGCAAATTTTAAAAGATATATTGTCTAGATATGTGTACTTCACATTTATATTGTCCATAAGCATATAATTATAACGTGCAAATCATCAGCATGTGCTAAACAATCAATATTATTGCCCGGGGGTGGGGATATAGACCCAATTTGTTTGCCCAGGGGTGGGGCTTTAGAACAGTTCTTCTTTCTCTGGGGTGGGGACATTAATGGCTAATTCCCCAGGGGTAGCCGGGGGGATGGGCACCGCTGGAAATGTCTGATACATTAGAGTAGGGGTAGGGTTTGGGTTAGTTAGTACATAGCCATATAACACCTCTTCCATCTCCCGAAAATGACGTGCTGGATGCAAAATAGTGCTAACCAATAAAAGTACAATACACAAAGGTACGCCGGAACTGGGGGCAGGAGGAGCAGCCGCCCCTGTTGCCCTTTACCAGGAGGGGCAAGGGGGGCAAAGGTGCCCTGACAATTTAAAGGATTGCCTTGGCAAAATAGCAAATTGTCAGTAGGCTGGATCGATATCGCAAATACCGAATACCGATATACCGCCATCAGAATACCGGTATTCCGGTATTTTTAACGTGTTTTTTTTTAAGCCAAACTGAAGTGCTGACCGTCTAGAAAAATCAATTTTTGACAAAATATTAGTGTGGCACATACTGTTATTAGTGCAAATGTCACAAGATTCGCATTATCAAGCTATGTTAACAATTAACAGCGCTAAGCGGCAATTATTAGTAGGCCGTTGATTGGGCGTCGAAGTGTTGAATTATTCAGAAAATATTCGTTTTGTATATAAATTCAGATAGTGTTTCAGTAAGCTGCTAATAGTTATAAACATAAAAAACGTTGCATTTTTAAAACTAACACATAAACAAGTTAGCAAGCATGTAAAAAAAACTTGAAAAGCCAGGAAAGGTTTTCGCTACTTTGCAAATGCTAGTACTTCCACCTTCCAAAATCAAAGTTTTCTTTTTTGTCGAAATTTTCCTTTAAAAATTTCGCCATTTTTATATTTCCGATTAAGGCGATTTAATAAAGGCAATTTTTAAAATAATTAAAATAAATTAGGGTTAGGTTAGGGGTTAGGGTGAGTATTAGGGTTAGGGTTTAGTTTTGCGTTAGGATAGTTTTTTCTACGTTATAAAAACGGAAACCTTATTTTGAAGTATACTATCTAGCGATCACCATTTAATAAACAAGACGTCTGGTGGCTAAACCAAAGCCGCTAGAACTGTAAGAACAAAATCATGCATCTGTGAGTATTAACTTTGCTTTCTAAACGTGATTGTAAGCAAATTTGACTTGAAAGAGCGTTTCATTTCGGTATTAGGCAGCAAAATACCGAAATGTCGGTATATCGGTATTTTTAAATTGTCAATATCGCCAAACCGGTATCTAAACAAATACCGGTATATCGGATATATCCGGTATATCGATCCAGCCTAATTGTCAGAAATGTTGTCATCGAGCTTCAAGAATAGCACAATCACCTTGGCGGAGAACCCCCTCTCATCCAATAAATAGAAAACATGATTAGGCGAAGTTCAACTCCAGATGTTTTGTAAATATCGATGACTTAGTATATATCAATTCAAAATTGCCCTTTCACGAAAATCTCCCCCCCCCCCTTTGCCTTCACATCGTTCCGGCGTCCCTGAATACACACATGCACATCACACATGACGATGAACCGACCATTTTTGCATAAACCGAGACAAAAACATAGATAATCAGGTCTATTTGTCTGCATCAAGTTTCTTAACCTTCTTATTTTATTGACTATGATTTTAATGGACCCAAATGTGCTCATGAGGTTAATTTAAAAAATGATGACGTTGACGAACCCACCTCGTATAATCGTCGCAATATATCCGGTTCTCTTTGGGAATTCGTCGAAATATATTCTGCAATTGGGTTAGAATATTCGCTCATTGCACCTTTTCTCACCTTGCAGAGATATTTCGATACGTCGTCATTAACATTACTAAGTTTTGGTGAAGCCATATCTGTTCTGAAACACTCAAACGACAAACGTATAAAGCGGAACTTTATATTCGAATGCTTTAAATCGTTAATTGACTTCGAGAGTCGAGTGGTGGTCGAGTGCCCCCGGCAGCGTTTCCACTCCCAAAAAAATAATTTCCTTTTCCATAACCCGAAATTTCCTTTTCTTCCACAAAATTTCCTTCCAAAAATCTCTAAATATCCTTCCATTTTTCCTTCAAAATTTTTATCAAAATTGACAGATTTAGGGAAAGTACATTTATTATGCCGAGGGGGGGGATGAAGATGTTAAAGGGGGGGCTCCGAAATATTTTCTGGCATTAAAGGGGGGGCTCTGAAAGTTCTTGATATACTGAAGGGGGGGGGGGCTCTAAACTTTTCAAAGGTTTGACCCCAGCAAATTAAAGTTAAAATTTTTACATTTTCAGGTAAAATTTGCGTAATAAAGTAATTATTTTTGTGAAATGATAACCATTTTTGTAAAATACAGTCAAGTTACATGCAATTTGTTTGCGAAATTTGCTTTAGAAAACGCCAGAAATTCAGTCCTAGAGCTTCAAAAATGTAAAAATTTTCTGGGGGAGGACCCCCAGACCCCCCTTTTCTCCCAAAACTTAGTATGAGAGTGCCAATCAATCACAAAAAGCTTTATTATAATTATTACACGTATAATCCTATGACATCCCCCTCCCGCCAAACGTCAGATGCTTTGCTACGTCCCTGATGGTTGTATTCGAAACCGATTTCAGTTTTAAGATATCCTTAGTCTGCTCTTCTAAATGGATACATGAAATCACCTATAGCTTATTGGCGCCAGGTTTGTGAAGTAATTTACGCGCCAAAAAGTAGCAGTTCCAAAAACAAAAAAGCATATGCGATTTGCAAGAATGATATGTTCTATGTTTATGGGATATTTCATACAAACGGGATGGAAATTAAAGAAATTGAAGCATACTGGCACTTTTGCATGCATTTTTGACAGGCATACAAAGACATTTGCAACAGATGCCGGGAGATACGTTGGGTGGGGGCGACATACTGTAAGGTTCCAGCACATTACCCTGATCCAGGAAATCCTGGCCACTACATGAACGTGTTCAAGACTCCGAATACGCTGAATGATGGACAACAACAACCTGTTGATAATTTCACCCCTAGAGCCAATTTAAAATGTTTTAAAGACGGTGCCATTTCATCTGGCGCTAGTGAGGTGAAAGAAGCAGCAGATCGGTAGTTTTGTTGAGGAGAAGCACATGCTTGAGTCAGGGGCGGCGGAACCGGGGGGGCTAGGGGGGCTGAAGCCCCCCCAGAAGTAAAAGTGGGGGGGGGGGGCTTAGCCCCCCCAGAAAATTTAGTTTTTTCTGGAAAAATTTTGATAATTAAGGAAAAACTTCGGTAATTTTTTGAAAATTTAGGTATAAGGGGAAAAATTTGCAATATTTTGTTTAAAAATTGTGTATTTCCGGAAAAAATTTTTGTTATATGTCCGAAAAAATTTTTTTCATCCCTTTTCTTGTATATGTCCGGAAAAATTTTTGTACCCCTAAAATGGTACACTGACCGAGAATTTTTTGGCGACGGGGGGGGTGTCGGGGAGGGGGGGTGGTCACGGAAAAAAATTTAGCCCCTCCAGAATGAAATCTGTTCCGCCGCCGCTGGCTTGAGTATATCAGACATTATGAGGAACTGCAAATTGTATCTATGATAAGAGAGAATTCCGGATTGTACTCCTTCGATTCCGAATTCTAGAGGGGGGGGCATTGAAAATTTTAAAAACTTGGAGGGGGGGCATCGAAATTTACCGATAACCTCAACAGGGGCCCTGTAAAAATATGAGCTTTTTTTAAGACATCTTCATCCTCCTCCCTCGGTGTAATAAATGTACTTTCCCTTACCTGGTAATTAACATCTAAACTCTAGTATTGAAACACATTATTGAAGTAGATTGAAGAGTGCTCAACACAAAAATTTGTAGAGCAATATTTATTTAATCTTAAAAATAGTACATGTTGCTACTCAGAGTTTCATGCAATTTTGCAATCTTCAGGCAACTGTTATTACAAGCATAGATTATAGATTATACCAGATGACTCACTCAGCAAAAAATGTGTCCGCGATTTTTTATGAGCACACGTTGGCCGCCATTTTGGCAGTAAGTGTAATCCACGCCCATTGTCCACGCCATGAAACGTGAGCAATGACGCCATCTTTTAAGCCACTGACTTAAACACCCTGAAAAAAACCCTGGCTAAAGAAACTAATCAAATATTTGGACTATGGACCTTCAAACTTATGCCAAGTATTTATTTGATTGATTAGCTCAATAACTGTTTTATGGCTCGTTTTTCGTCGATTTCGACATTTGGTCAATACTCTGATACCGTAGCCTGCGTGACTGACAGGCGGTTTAAAAAATCCCCGCCTGCCACGCAGGCTACCGATACCGAAGTTCAAAGTATCGGTATCGAGTTGAAAATCCTGGTATCGTCTACGTCCCTGAGCATTTCCGTTTGCAGGTTGGGGTGGGCACGGCGCTTATACAGGGTATGGCGTTCCGATCTGGCCAAAACTTCTTAATGAAGTACAAATGACAAATGAAACACTGTGGCAGTGTGTTATAAAACGCATTTTGAGTTCATGGGCTAGAAATTTGTTAGGTGTTTTATGTATTGTCCAATATGTATCAGAAAATTTACTCAATTTTAAGTAATTCTTTAAATAGCTGCTTAATTTACATATCGTTATTTACTTTTTTTACAATAACAATATGCAAATAATAGGTAATAAAGGCATGAATTAAGCATGCATGATGGGCATTGTTGCTAAAAAATGAAAGTTTCAGCAGCTAGAGTAGTTCTGATATTTGGACCGTTGATAAAACACATAACAACTTTCTCGCCCATGAACTCAAAATGCGTTTTAGAATTTTAAATTTCGTGCGCAAGCTCTTTTTAATGCTGCTAAAAAAGACAATCCACCTGCTCTGGAAAATTTATCTTTACGAAATTGTTTTTATTCTACATTATAAGCACCCAAACAACCTACATTTATGACAAACTCAAGTAGATTAATGCCTGGGTCTGCCTTAAAATACCATTAAAACACTTAAATGGCCATAAATTAAAACCTTAGGGAATCCATATTTTGCGGGGAAATTAACTGTGCTTAACCACAGTGGTCAGAGCTTGAGACTTAAACATTTACGGTTTCCATGGAAACATGTCACGTGACATTTTGGTGATTTTAAAGGAAAATGTCGTGACCAATTTTCAACCGCGTTGCGGACTCGGAAAATCGTAATAAAGGATTCCGTTTTTGTTCATTTTAAACACCTTAGTGTCTTAACTTTACGTTTCTAACTTCTGATCATGGATGAGATTTGTTATTAAAATAAAAAAATCAATAATACCCTTGAAATATTCCACCTCTCAGGGAATTTCATGAAATGAAGTTGTCTACTTTTTTATACACCCTGTATACTCAATCAGCGTTCTAACAATGCGACTCTAATAATATTAAATAAGTTAAATTCATAGCAATATCTATTTATATAGTGGATATTATTGGCCAACCACCACCACCGAACTCAGGCTTGAGAACCAATCTGAAGCAACCTTACGAACGGTACTGTTCGAATCGAAAAAGATGGTTATATAGTTCAGTGCTTTAGACTTCGCTAATACTTTCCTTTCCCCAGCTATGGGGTAAATAGCCGGGCAGAATTAGTACCCTCGCCCTGAGCTAACGCCCGGAATTAGGCATAATTACGCGCCGTTGGCTCGGGGATTATTTCAACAAGAATTTCCCCCGGTATATGATTTGATAATTTTGAAATTTTTTGCTGTTCCAGTGTTCCGTTTCATACTGTTACGGTGTTCCAGTGTCCCGGTGGTCCAGGGGGGGGGGGATAGGGGTATACAAATCCGCCGATCCGCCCAAATTTGAAACAAAATCCGCGATCCGACAATGGTCTTGTCTAAATTTGAATCCGCTAAAAGCTCTATTATGAAGTCACAATCCAGGATCCGAACTAAATTGCAAGCTAAATCCACAATCCGAGCCAAAATATTAGATAAATCCGCAGTCCGCTGTATTAATAAGATCCGCAAATCCGTGTAAAATATTCGCCAGATCCGAAATCCGAACAATTTTTTCTGTGAAATCCAACGATCCGAAAACCTATCCCCTCCAGGTTTCACTGATAGTCTGTTAGGTTTCGCGTTTCGTCATGTGTATTCATTGTTGAGATCATATTGAGATCAGTGTTATGGTTATGCCTGTCTTTGCAGTCAGCGGAAGTATTAAAAAAACAGCCACGAATGCAAGACACTTCAATCAATATTCTTTTGATCAAAACATCAAAATATAAATTGGGATTGTAAAATGGGTAAGTAATCATAATTTTTGTGGATAAAAAAGTAGAATTTCTTAATGTTTTGTGTATTCTTGCGATAATACAGTATGAGTGTTTCAAATCTATTTCTGACCTAAAGTGATCAGTGATAGAAACTCAATAATATATATTTATAATTATATGGTATCATATGTTTGAACACTCTATTAACAACAAAGTACAGTTGCAGTGTGATGAAGGATATACAACTACCTGAAAAATGTAATTTAGAATTTCAACGTTTTGAGTGAATGTGCTTTTCTCAATCTATGGTCAAAACTATGCAGGATGATGGTGCCTGCCTGCCCGGTGTGATAATTTTAAAGTAAAATGTGCAGTGATAAAACTTGCAGTGATAAGTTGTTAATTAAAATTAACAAGAAAATGAGGCAACGAGCCAGTATGGAAACTTTAGGATGCGTGCGGAATAAATTCTGTGAGCAGTTTTTTTAAGAAAGTGCGCAAAATTTTGAAAAAAGCTCGCAAACCTGAAATTCGAGTGTTTCCATAATTCAAATATACTAGAATGTGACCACATTAATGTGCACATCTGTGGTACAAATGTGTGCAAACGACACTACTATTAATCACCGTGCAAAATTACAAAGGTTTCCATACTGGGCAATGAGCAGAAACACTGAACTAGATATTTGTCTTGACACTTAACAGCTAGTACAATCAAATTCAAGACATTTTGGATCAGAATAACTTGAATGAAATTGAAATGATAACTGCTAAATTATCGAACGTCCGCACTAATATTCACTTAAGGTTCTTCTGATGTCAACAAAGTCTGCCACCAAAAGATCTCTCTAGTATGAGCCTGGAAGATTGAGTGAATGATACTTAACTGAAATCTGTAATTAGTGTACAAATCTTCAGAATTTGCTAGAATTGTAGGAAATAGGATGTAGGATGTAGAGAGCATAGATTACCCAGGGTGGAAAGTTTGTAGGTTGCGGCGAAGATCTTCAGCATGGAAAATTCATAAATTTGCTCCATTTTGGCGCAGAATTATGGAGGTCTGAAATGACCTGGTGTGGCGCACAGGAAATTATTTACTTGTGCACACTACAACATTCTCAACCATTTCTGTTTGTATTTCAGCCATTTAAAATTATACAAGGGAATTTGATTCAGTGCTGGAAATAAAGGAAATATGCTATAAACTTTATTTTTGTGATTATATATTAGTTTTAGTCTTAATTGACATATAAAAACAAAAAATGTATATTTTCTTAAAAATTGTTAAAAATAATCAGGATTAACAAAAAATAACATTCTATATTCTTGATACTTTTTTTTCGCATAATGCCTATAAAATCCGAACGTTTAAAAATAAGTTCGCAAACCAGCATAATTTTGTTGATCAATACTTTTTCTATGCAATGCAACATTACTACTCTGGAATCACACAGTGTAATCAATTTTACCGTTGAAAAACTAAATTTTTCAAAAATATTGATAAACCTGGTATTCTTTGGTTATACCACTGGTATTCTGTACTGATTTTAGTATTTAACTTTCACTAAATTAAGTTAGCAGTATCCCACAGTATTATCATACAACATGACACATCCTGGTACAATTTGATAAACCGTTGCTTACTTACCTCTGCACTGGTATTCTGTGGTACACTGGATTTTTTCCACAGAATATTCAATTAAAAGAAAAAAATTAAGTCTATGAAATCTTGCCCCAAAACCCCCAGGAAGAAAAAATATATCGATAGACTATACTAAAAAATATCAAGGAACCATAGTATATACATTAGACAAAAGATATGGAACATGTAAATTTTTGCGGTATTCTGTGGTACACACACCTGTAGTTGTAGTAAAATCAATGCTAAATCAAGCAATATATACGTCTGTTTACTGATTTTATTTTGCGCCTTTAGCACAGTGCAACGAATAAAATTGTTCAAATTAATGTCGAAGTTTGCGACCCATAATAGTCTGAAGTAATCGAGTATCCACACAGTAAAGTTTTAACAAATATTGCTGCCCAGAAAAATGATGGCTGAGAACAAGTGCCCTTTTGAAATGGCTACCCCGCCGCTTCACATTAATGCTTCTGGCGCTCCTGGATTGAGCACTCAAAGACCATATTTCAAATGTTTAATAGTATCTGTTCTGTCTCACTCTAAAAGTACTGACATTGCAACTCGGCGGCGCATGTGAATATGTTTAAAACAGGATTTGTGCAGCCACTGGCGCATGTTACTAAACCTTGATCAAATCTTCTGCGCACAAAAAACAAACTTTCCACCCTGGTAGATCACAGATTTTTGGTGGGTGCATACCCCTGGAACTCCTATAGCGAATTGTCACTATGCTGTCATACATGCTGTCATACATAGTCGTAATGCAGGTGCTGTCATGCAATGCTGCCCAGAGGGCAGAGGAGCAATTTTCTCTGGGGCCCAGTTAAAGAGGGGGTTTCTGTAAATCCTGGGAAAAATGGGACCCTGGGGAGAATGTCCCTGGACTCCCGTAATCATAGTGTTAAGATGGAATCACAAGGAACCCCAGGTCAAATTTTGCCATTGGGCCCCCAAATTTATCTGGGCGCTCCTGTCAGATCGTAGTGAGACAATCAGAATGTTTAACGTTCTAAAACTCACATTGAAAATACTTTCTCTCACATAATACAATCAATAAAATCGTAAAATACAGTCCCTTGAGCATTTATTGAACAGACCAAATGATGGAAGTTCCACAACAACAGGCTACAATTGGTATTCAGAAATACCAAATCCAACATACACTGCACAGCAATGAATGCATGTCATTCAATCACTCCTTAGCTATTTGATTACCTTTCCAAATTACAGTGTGTCACTGTGACGTATCACTTTACACATACAAAGACCTATTTACGATTTAGTTTGAATTACGTCAATCACAATATTTATATATTACATGAAGTACTGTATATTTACAATTGAATGAACTGGCAGCACTGCGGTGGGAACCTACACAGCAAAAAACGCCGAGCCCGCTGCTCAACAGGGTTGAACAATGTTTTGCTGCCCACGTTGTTCACACTTGTCAACAATATTGAACAATATTGTTGAGCCTGAATCGGGTGTAACAATATTGTTCAATATTGTTGACAACTGTGAACAATATGGGCAGCAAAACATTGTTCGATCCTGTTTTCATCAATATTGCAACAACCTGAGCGTTTTTACGCGTGTACGACATCCCACCCACCTTGATTCATAAAGATCTGTGAATGAAGCATCACCTTTGTCTTTGCTTTCGAAATTACTGCAGCAGCCCATCTCGGACGATCGTGCAAGACATGCAAGGACCAGTCTGACTTAGCTACGGGGAATCCCCTCCCTGTCCATTCCCACCCGGCCGAGCTTGAACCTCCAATGGGAATAGTTTCTGTATAGGCCTATTTAAATAGACTGGTTTCAAATCCCGCTCGAGCCAACGAATTTTTCGTTGGTTGATTGCAGTGTCAGATTAATATGAAACTAGTTTTTCGTATCTCTGAGGATGGTTCTGAAATAGAATTAAAACACTGCGCGTCCTCTAAGACAAGCGTTAAGTCGTCACGAAAATATTTCGTGCACTTAAATTGGGTAAGACTCGCTACCAATCCCTGTTGACTCGATAGCTCAATGGGTAGAGCGGCGGTCTAGATACCTGAAGATGCGAGTTCAAATGCCGCTCGAGCCAACGAATTTTTCGTTGGTCGATTGCAGTGGCAGATTAATATGACACTATTTTTTCGTATCTCTGAGGATGGTTCTGAAATGGTCTACCCTTGCCTGCAACCTTTACCTTGGCCCCTCGGACCTCCTTGTCCTTATCTACAATTAACTTTTCTACAACTGCTAACTTCCAACTACATCTCTTTCCTTCTCCGTACACTATCACTGCGTGCTCCACTTCCCATTCTTAACTTCTCTCAATCTACCTCCGTTTTTGCTTTTTAATATGGAACTCTCTCAACCCTGTTAGATACTCCTTTTGCCATCTCTTCCAGAAGTACTCTAACTTTAACCATACATATTTAAATCTCTCCTCACAACTATTCACGTCTTTAGCTACTTCGTTCTGTGGCATATAGTAATATTAATTGCTCTACCATACCGGTACACGATCAAATTCTTCGTATTCATCAGTCAACGGTCTTGCAACGGTCTTGTACCTTCAACTAAAACTGTATTAAGTTCGTCCGACGTTAACCTAGCATTCTCTAAAGTCTTTCTGAGACACCTTTTTACGCTTCGTACCATCCTCTCAAAAACTCCGCTTCACCAGGGTGCCCTCTCTAAGTTGAACCGCCAGGTTATTCGCTTTGTAGCTCGGACCTAACCTTTTGCTGACTACAGTATATAGTTTTCTAAGAGCTTTCTCTGATGCCTTAAATGTCTTTGCATCGTCCGATACAAAAAACTAGGCGTTCCTCTTCTAGCAGCAAATCTTCTTAAAGAACGTAAGAAAGTGTCGGCTGACAAATCTCGTACTGTACTAACTCTTAATGTATTGCACGTGTCACGCAGCATGAAAACAACGCTACATATACTTTGCTCGAACAATCTGCACAAACCTGTACAAAAAGTGGACCAGCGAAATCGATTCCCACTTTAGAAAATGGTGTTCCCTGTCTGACTCTTAAGTGAAACCCTGGTAAATCTGATACTGGTGCTTCACTTTATGATTTTCCTTCTAGTCTCTTGCAGATAACGCACTTGCCTACAATTCGTCTGCCTACAATTCAGCCTTCCTTCCAGGGCAGTTTCACGGAATATCTACTATACCTGTGAAGGTTAAGCCATCTGCTTTCGAAGTTACAAAGGAGCGATGACTTCCTCATCAAACAGTACCCGGACCTCAGTCTCCCTTTCTCCCCTTAAAACCCCGCGCGCAGTTTGCAAGTTAGTACTGTGGGACTAGATACATAGGGTCTTGTTTAATTATATCTTTACTTATTTCCTCATGCATAGTTTCTTTGTTATCATTATTACACAGGGCAACATGATGTGTGCCATTGCATTTCTTACACTTGGTTGATACACTACAAGTATTAGCCCTATGGCCTTTATCTAAGCATTTAAAACATCTGCCAAACGTACGTGCTAAAGTCTTACGTGTTTTTGGATCCCTTACTCCTGGACAGTCTTCGTGGGCATGTTGTTTCAGGCAGAAAGCACAGTTTTTTCGTTTCTCATTCGTCAAGAGTGCAGCAGCAGTATAAGGGTTCTTTCGCTGACGCTGTTGATCTCGTTCCATATTTACCATTGCAGTCGTTTCCACCGCATTATGTGCTTCTCTCAGTTCCAATTCTTTTACAAATGCATCCACCATTTCTTCCACCGACCATTGTAAAAAGTCTGTCCCTCTGGTATACCGGTGTGATGATGATGATGTACCACATTCTGCATATTATTAGGCACGAGAGGTTAAAATCTAACACTGCTATGATAATATATTGCTCCATGCCATAAATGTTTGATGTTTTGTACACTGTTGAGCCTCTTTTCCATTCATCGTAAGATTGAACTCGCAAGCTCTCTGCAACTGTGCTTTCATCCAATCACAATCCGTGATTGTTATTGGATAATTAGATGCAAGCACTCACAGAAAGCTTGCAAGTTGTTTTTTGCAATGAGCGGAAATTAAAGAGTCTTAAAGTTTGTACTCTGGAATTGTAAGTATAATGTTCAAATTAGGCTGTTGCGATATTGAAAAAATATCGAATATATATCGATATCGAAAAAAATATCGATTTTACAAAGATATCAATATATATTGATATTTCAATATATCGCAACAGCTTATAGTTCAAATAAGAAATTATTTTTTGTGTGTCAGTATGGATATGAATTTGTGCAGCTTCGTTTGAATCAAGCTTCATTTTGGGGCAATAGAACAAGCTTGGGTTTGACTGTGATAGTATTTTAAATTAATATAATTAATTTGTTTGTTCCACAGGTGGGTTTTTCTCAAATTTATTTTCATCCTTGTTTGGTTCAAAAGAAATGAGAATTCTTATTCTTGGCTTGGATGGAGCAGGAAAGACCACTATACTATATAGGTAATTGTATAGTAAGCTTAAGAATTCAAGCAATTGGTCAAGAGCCGGCATGATCTATTAGAGGACAGGCACACAGAATTACGTCTCACAAACTTGGTTTTGTGCAGCCAACTACAATTCAGCATGTGACTTATGCTAGCCAATAGCATTTTCTTATTAATATACTTCATGTACTGTACGCATGATATTTGTCAAATTTGAACTGTTTCAATTTTCTAAATGTTTGGGTTGAACAAAAAAAAACTATTTGCTTGTTTAATTTGTTTATTTGCTTTTTATTTTAACATTAAACAAATAGATAAGACTTTGCTGCTGTCTGTTCAGAACTTTATAGATACACAATATGAGAATATGACATAATGTGGTAAGAACATCAGTGAGTGTGGCTCGTGGGCACTTTTGTTCTTACGTCATACAGTACTCTGTATACATAACTGAACAGACAATGGAAAAATGTTACATGTTCCATTTGTTACATATTTCATGTTGTTGTGTTAACTCTGTCTAGTATGTACAGTAGAAGTTGTGGTGTGGTGACCACACTTGCCTTTCAAACTCAGAGCCCCGGTTCAATCCTTGGTAGGGCATCTACGTTAAAATTGTAGGTACCTCGGACCCCTAACACTGGAAAAAAAAGCGAAATCCATACTGCGAAATTTGCAATTGCACGACTAAACCCATAGTATATCCATACTATTTCCATACTGTATCCACACTATGGAAATATACAATTATTATGGATAACCAAAATTCATTCTATTTCCAATAAAGGTCCATACAATTTCCATTCTATGAACTTGTATGGATTTTCAAAATTTTTTCCAGTGCATTCAATTGGGCAATAGCCTGCTCACCAATGAGTCAGAAAAACTCAATAAACAATTTAACACTTTCCCTGCCAGACGTTTTCAGAAAATTCTAGACCCAATTTGACTCATTAATGCACAAGACTCAACCCTTGACAACTTAAGTAAAATCATCTGCCATTAGACAGAGTGAAAAAAGATAAAGTTGGGTGCATTTAGATGCATTGTGCAATAATTAGAATAAAGTTTTATCTTTTTTAAAACAGGCTTCAAGTTGGTGAAGTCGTGACAACAATTCCAAGTATGTGTTAACGGTGAACTGCACCATTATGATATTAATTTCTCAGACTCTGCTGAATGTACATGATATTTTCTTTACAATAAAATGTATTAATTGTACTTGAAACGTAGGTTGTCACATAATCAAGTTGAAATGTTGAATTTAATCTTTTTCAGGTTGTTCCGACACAAACCACTGTAGCAGCAGCTTTCTGTCGGAACAACATGTAAAAGATTAAATTAAACATTTCAGTGTGTCTAGAGAAAGTCTTTTGTCCTGAGGTTCATAGGCATTTAAACTGGTTCAATTGTTCTTTAGTCGGACTTGAAAATCTTGTAATTCTACTTAAAAATGAGGCAAATGATTAAAAGGAAGCGCGACCCGTACGACTACAGTCACTACACTGTACGCATATTAAAATTGACATCTTAAAAACGTCTTAACTGTTGTCTTGAAAGTTTTTCGCCGTCGGCCAGCCCTGTCCTCGTTAGCCTGCATGGCAGCCAATTTTAGGAACCGCCTGCCATGCAGGCTATGTCGACGTCGGGCAAATTTTTGTCTGCCCCCTAATTCCAGTACCGTAACGTCCGTTATACTTTCAAAAGTTGATGCTACTATAAAGGTAATGCATCCTTGTATCATATACTGCTAACAGTACTTTGATTTTTGAAAGATTAAGGAAATTCTAGTCCTCTTTTCACTACGTTTTTAAAACGAAATCTTGTCAAGATCTTGTAGTCAGAATTTCAAGCAGTTCAGCTGGAGAGCCGATAGCACAATATTCCAATAAAGACAAGTGTGTCCGACTCAGTAAATGAGACCAAAGGCTTAAGGCTGATTTCCACTGTTGCGTTTTTCATACGTACGTATACGCACGTAAAACTTTAAATCCGTTTAATTAGTATGCATTTGTTAACTTATTTGTAAAATATTTAAAAAATAGAAGGATTCAAAGTTTTACGTGCGTGTACGTGCGTACGAAAAACGCAACAGTGGAAATCAGCCTTTAGCAAATAATCTGCATGAACAAGCTTTCGTTGGTAGGGACGCAACTACCTGAAAAATATAAGGAGAACTTTGATGTTTCAAAATTCTCCTTATATTTTCAGGTATAGTTACATCCCTACTAACGAAAACTTGTTCATATTATTGGCAATACTGGCACAGACAGTTTAACGTTTTGGAGAGTGTAACTCCATCTTCAGGTTTAAAAATTGGTGCAATATATAAAACCTTTCAATTTGTTATACTGTATATATACTGTAGTGACTGCACTGAAAGAGTTGTTTTTTCTGGATGTGTTTTTTTCTAGCAATTGGTTTCAATGTTGAAACAGTTACTTACAAGAATCTGAAGTTTCAAGGTAAAACATTTCTTGTGCTATGTCCCAAACAAAAGAACTGCACGTGTATAAAACTATGGGTATGGACCTCACAATTAATATAGAAATAAACTTTCATTTATAAAAACTAAAGTTTAATCTGGGTTATATTAATCAATGGGCAATTTTAGAAAGCTTGAAAAAATCATTATCCGGTGCCGGTGGATAGAAGATGGGCACAGCGTTGCCTGGCCTTCGTACAGCCTGCTAACTTTTGTATTGCTTGCGGAAATTCCTACCACATTTAGGCCGAAAATGGTCGCACGCAATACAAAAGTATACAAAATTTGCGAACTTTGCAAGGCTATATTTTCCACATTTTACAACATTTCGCAACCAAATTTTGTAATTTTACTAATTTTAGTAACTATGCTCTTTCTAGCTGTGGTGATTTATTTGCACCTCCTTGCCTAGTTTTAAAATTAGTCTATAATGGGAATTGTCTATTAACATTCAAGGCCTTTGCATGATATCGGCTCAAACCCTTTTCTTGGCAATTTTGTTGTATAGTAGCTATAGTATGTGGTAGTTCATCAAATTTAGTCGCCATTTCAAAATAATTTTGTGGAGGAAGCAACTTGTGAAATTTTGAAGCAACGTTTTAAATTATGCCCAATGTCAGGTTGAATATACAGTAGATAGATTTTATTTAGGAGGGCAAGAGTTTTGGCAGCGATATTTGTGGTTATAAAGTATTAGCGGGAAAATAGTAATAGTGAGAATCGTTTGGTCAATTCACAAGTTCTCTGGCGTTCACGGACGTTTCACTGACGTTGGCAACTTGAGCAAATCACTAAAAGGTCTATTAATATTACGTATTGTTATATAGTTTGTGTCAAAGTTCAATTTTTCTGTTTGCCGATTGGTCAAAACCGTGTCACGTGCCGGTCCACAAAACATCATGTTCGGCAACCGGTCCGCAATCAAACATTTATTGACCGGTCAATAATAAAATGGGTGCAATACGCATGCGTGTCAACCATGAAGTTCCAAGGTTCATTTTTAAAACTTACTAAATATTTACGGCGTTCCATTTATCCAGTTTTGGTTTCCAATTAAGTTCACTCCAATAACCGGTGAATTATCCATACTTTGACACTTATATACTATATAACAAAACACTTATTTACTGAGACCTCGGTCTGTTTCCGTCGGTCTCAGACCTCCCTGTTTCCCTCGACCTCCCTGTTTCCCTCGGTCTCAGTAAATAAGTGATAAGTATTTGCATGTTTATTACAGAACGTTTTTCATTTCTTTTTTTATATAGTATGGGATTTAGGAGGTAAGTGACTTATAATCTGTGTATTTCTACTCTAATTTGTTTTGTTATTATAATTAAACAAACCTCGAAAAAAACTAATATTCAAGACAGTTTTTTGACCTGACTTATTCATGCCACGGGCTTCAATTGTTAAAAAGCGGTGGGTGCATGGTAGGGGAATTGTGTGAACAGCGTGGCACACATGCATCTGAGCTCAACAAACCCTCCGAGTCCTTCCTCGGAGCAGGGTCTTAGCTAGAAGGCCGTGTTGGCCGTGTTATCGCGGCCAAAAGAGGGGAAACACGGCTAGATAAAATGAACGCGGCTTCACTATTTATATAAGGCCGTGTACAGTAGGTTCATAAAATAAGGTGGTGCTACAGTACTTACAACAGACAGAACTTCTTCCAATTTACGCCGTAAGAAAGTTTGTAAAATCTACTGTTGTTGAATTGGCAAAGTGATCCGTGATGTTTTAATGTTTTGATGGATAATGCATGGGAACTGTATGGTGTTAATATGGTTTTAAATTCCCCCTGGATTCGCTGAAATAACTTAATATTTTAATGTCAGTGCGCAATATGAGCGTATGCTCGCCTTGTATTTGGTTGCAAAGCATAGAACAACCACAGGCATTGTTGTTGGCGAGCATAACTAAAACCGTGATTTTGCTATTCAAGGTATTCGACATGTGCACGCCCTGGTCATTAGAAACACGCCCAAGATCTAAAATCCTAGCTAAGACCCTGCCTCAGAGTCACCTCGATGCATCCTATTGGCCAGTAAGAATGAATCATGGAATATATACACTGTCATATAAATGAACACACAGAACAACTCGTGATTTTATTGCATGAACACATTTAACAGTGTATGGTCAAGTGTTATTGCAGCTGTATATATAATGTTAAACACAGATCTAACGAAATATTTTCTCATTCTCACCAGGTCAAACAAGCATAAGGTAAGATGCATGTTTTGAATATCTTTGCTCTGTTAACTACAGATTGCTACGTCAAGCGCAAAGAATTTGATTCAGTGACTGACAGTTCAACAAATAGAGCAAATTTTCAAAAGAATTGTGCACGGTGAAGCCGTCTCAACATAAATTCGTAGCTCATTATAGACGCTTGGACATTTATCACAGGGTTCGTACAAAACTTGAAAATCCTTGAATTTGGAAACAAAAGTCCAAGGCCTTGAAAGTCCTTGAGTTTATAAAGATGTGCTTGAGAGTCCTTATATTGTCTTGCTTTAGTGGATATTTTCTAAAAATCTGAAATTGTTTGGCATTAAGAATTGGACATTTTGTAAATTGATTTTGTTCATGTCTTGCTAAGGCCACAAAACTGTTTGAAATTCATATAAAGATGGCATTTGAACAGTTTAAAGTCATTTTTTACTGATTTCTAACGCCGCCTTTTCAGCCTTAGTTCTTGAATTTCCTGATAGATGACCTTGAAAGTCCTTGAAAAGTCCTTGAATGCAACTCTTCCTGACATGTACGAACTCTGTGATCAAGATGTTGGGCATCTCGCTCGATAGACCTAACAGTTGAACGGGTTTTGTAAATGGAAATTTCGAGCGGATGATTGCATACAATTTTCAGACCTAACCAGGAGAAGTTGCGAAGAATGCAACTACTGCATGTATATAGGTCCTCAGGCAGGAATCAAACCTGCTGCGATTCTGCGATTCCTTGCTGCGATTCCTTTCTATGCCATACTCTGAAATATGCCATACTCTGAAATATGCCATACTCTGAAATATGCCATACTCTGAAATATGCCATACTCTGAAATATGCCATACTCTGAAATATGCCATACTCTGAAATATGCCATACTCTGAGGCAGTGCTGTAAGTAACTTCGTTACAAGTAACGAAATTACAAGTAATCGTTACTTTTTGAGTAACTGTAATGGTAACTAGTTACCTTTAAAAATAAGGTAACTGTAACTGTAACGAGTTACATTTTGGCCTAAAATGAAACGATAACGCGCTACTTTTATAGCCAACGTTTACGTTACTTTTTTCGTTACATTCTTGCGGTTAAAACTTACAATTCACCTCTCAGTTCTCGAAATTCTCCTCACCGTTTTCTACGACAATGCATGCTTCAGTGCTTAACACAACTGAGAGACCCATTAGTGGTAAGGTTACATAACGTTTACAAATAATTAACGTCAATCTGCTGACCACTAATCATTAAGTTGAAAAAACTGGGTTTTTCTTACTTGAAGTAACTTGTAACTAGTTACAAAAATATTGAAGTAATTTTGTAACGGCAACTAGTTACATTTTTTTAAGTGTAACTTTTACCAGTAACTAGTTCCTTTTTTGGGAATGTAACTGTAACTGTAACTAGTTCCAAAAAATAAGTAACTTTTACAGCACTTCTCTGAAGTATACCATACTCTGAAATATGCCATACTCTGAAATATGCCATACTCTGAAATATGCCATACTCTGAAGTATACCATACTCTGAAATATGCCATGCGCACTCTGAAATATGCCATACTCTGAAGTATACCATACTCTGAAATATGCCATACTCTGAAATATGCCATACTCTGAAATATGTCATACTCTGAAATATGCCATATACTCTGAAATATGTCATATACTCTGAAATATGCCATATTCTGAAATATGCCATACTCTGAAATATGCCATATACTCTGAAATATGCCATATACTCTGAAATATGCCATACTCTGAAATATGCCATACTCTGAAATACGCCATACTCTGAAATATGCCATACTTCCTATGCCATACTCTGAAATATGCCATACTTCCTATGCCATACATAACTCTGAAAATTGTATGTAATCTTTCGCTCGAAATTTTCATCTATAAAACCCCTTCAGTTTTGACGTTTCCCGAGTTTCTATGGCCATCTCTATTGACAGTGGTTAAACATTGCTAGAGAATAAAAACCCCAAGTATCAGTTGTTCACAATTAGTAAAAATGCACCATAGCAAGTTTATCAGTGGGTCACATGTACTCGTGGGTCTCGCTTTTATCCCAATCCAGTTTAATTCTTCTTATCGCAGACCTTACTGGCGGTGTTACTATGCCAACACGGATGCAGTTATTTATGTGGTAGATAGTGTTGATCGAGATAGGATTGGGATTTCTAAGCAAGAACTTTTATCAATGCTTGAGGTAAGTGAAAAACAGTCGAAGTTGCGAAACGCTTAGCCTGCGACATTCAGACCGGAGTTAAGGAATATCGTGTTTCTTAAGTGACGCTCTCATGGCCTAGCGCCAGCTGAGCCAAATTGAAACTTTTGAAGTGCAAGTCACCTGACTTGAGTATACTAAAAACAGACAAATATATATTTTAGGCTACATGATATCCTCGCAACACTTATATGGTACATTGGTACCCAATTTTTCTTGAGCAAAGTTTTTAAGTTGAACAATTATATATATATATATATATATATTACGAAAGTCACCGAATTGTGGAATCGCATAAAAAATTCGTATCGCCGCCACTCCCACAAACGTCTACGACCGCACCTACATATTTTTGTATGTTTACAATTCTAATAATATACATAAAGATATTACTCGACTGTGATTGGTTGATTTCAGTGCAGTTAATCCCAAACAGCAGTGCAATTTTCTGTAATCACAGTGC